TAAAATCAAAACGACGGTGGGGGTCGGTGCCGCGGTGGGCAAGTGACGTAACCGGTGTTTCGGCTTAACACCGGTATCACCGTCAGCACCGTCTATCGCGGCAAGCCTACTGTCAGCCTTTATACTGTGGTCGTAGCATGTGCTCTTCAACTGCCGCACATCATTTCATATTAAAGCACGATTAAACTACAAGCCGCGTCATGTTCAGCAGCGGCAGCTCTTAAAGTAATAGCAGCCAAATAACCTAATATCCCAGCTGCTGTGATATCTGTAAGTCTAAGAACAAAAGAGGAAATCAATAACTTTTGTAGCTTTAAGGATTCATCTATTTCATTTAGAATTTTTGTTTTTTTCTGTCGTGTAATCGACTGTTGTTTTCAGTGTCGACTAGTAGGAGCTGTATCGTTTAGTCGACTAGTCGACTAGACCCGCACATCCCTAGTGTAAATAAATGTTGATTGATTGATTGACATTTATTGTAATGGGTTTGTTTCATTTATTGCAATTTTTGTAAATAAATAATAAATTATTGTATGATAGTTATTGAATTAATTTAATGCATTAATTAATAAGTTTGTTACTAGTAGGAGCTGTATCGTTTAGTCGACTAGTCGACTAGACACGCACATCCCTAGTATAAATAAATGTTGATTGATTGATTGACATTTATTGTAATGGGTTTAAGTTTCATTTAATGCAATTTTTGTAAATAAATAATAAATTATTGTATGATAGTTATTGAATTAATTTAATGCATTAATTAATAAGTTTGTTCTTGCTAGTTTAAAAATGATGGGTTTTCCCAAAATGTATTAAGTTGTTGTTGTTATGCTGTCTGTGTGCAGAGCACAAGAGTGTGAACTCGACACGGTTAGTCGCATGCATCACCACGCTGTATCTGTTCAGTAAGATCAGAGCGCAGCTTATGGTCAAGCATGCCATGACTATGCAGCCTTACCTCACCACCAAGTGCAGTGTAAGTTCAGACTTTCATTTTAACAGTAAACCTGCCATTTTTCAGCACTTTGTATTTGTAATAATGCATTTGTATTAAATCAAAAATGTAGAAAAATGACAGCACAGTTTTATGGAAAAAAATCTAAAAAATAAATAAATAAAAATGTAATAGGTTCTTATTATTGCAAGTGTAATAAATTATTAAATTGTTAAAGTTTCAAAAATTAAATTTATTGGACATGCTTTTTTAAAAATTATTAAAATGTAATCATAGCATTAAAATGGTTTAATTGAAATCCAGAAAAGGTAAGACTGAAAACACAGAATTTGGGAAAAATAAAAACTTTTTGCTGAACTTTTAATTAATTGTTGCTAAATTGTAAAAGTTTAATGGTTTTAATTAGGCTTTAATTATAAAAATTTAATTCAACCATTAAAACAGAAACCAGAAAATTGAAACAAACAAAAAAATAAAACGTAATCCAGAAAAATGAATGGAAATGTTTGGAATTTGGGGAAATAAAATAAAATGCATTTCATAGCGCCCCAAAAATTTAAGCTTTGTTAAACCTTTAATAAATTGTTGTTAAATTGTAGTTTCATATAATTGTAAGTTAAATGATTTCAATTAATTAGATATGCCTTTTGATTATGAAATGTTATTTAACCATTAAAATGAAATCCAGAAAGACTGAAACTTAAAATGGAACAATAATGGAATTTGTATAAATAAATAAAAATACAGATTTTTAGGGCTGTATGCTAAGCACCTGCCAGTGCAATATTTGAGGTAATTCTGCCATCTTGTGGCCATATACTGCTAATGTTTTTAGATGATATTGTGCCAAGGTATAAGATTGTTTTCATTGATGGTTTTTCTTTTCAGTGTTTATGCATAATACATTTGTTTATTTACACAGTCTCAGAGTGACTTCATGGTGATTTGTAACATTGCGAAGATCCTGGAGCTTGTGGTTCCTCTGATGGATCACCCCAGTGAGAGCTTCCTGACCACCATTGAAGAAGACCTGATGAAGCTCATCTTAAAATATGGCATGACCGTAAGTGACCTGCTCTCACCCACTCTTGTAAGCAATTCACATATCTGAATTAACTTATTTACTTAGCAGACAAAAATGATTCTAGTGTGGTTTATTGTGTATCTTTTTAAAATAATAGTTAAAATATTCATTTGTATGGTTCATTAATCTTAAATTAGATTAACTGACTGGTTGGTCATTTGTTGACATGTAGTTACAGATACACGTTTGCATCCTATTTCTGCACATCCCACTAAGTTCTTTCTCCTTTCGCACAGGTTGTCCAGTACTGTGTGAGCTGTTTGGGTGCGATAGTGAATAAAGTGACTCATAATTATAAGTTTGTATGGGCCTGTTTTAACCGTTATTATGGGGCTCTGACTAAGCTAAAGTTACAGCATCAGGAGGGTACGAACAGCATGGCACTGGCTGCCACCAAAGCAGCCCTGCTCAGATCTCTCTTCACTGTGGGAGCTCTCTGCAGACACTTTGACTTTGACTTCGAGCAGTTCAAGGGCACCACTAAGGTATCGCAACCTTTTTCCATTACGTAACCGTTATACGGTTATAGACCTGCATGTAGTTTACGTGCAGCTGTTAGTGCAATGTAGTTGCTTGCTCGTTAACTTTAGCTCATTAGAGTTAAAGGGGTCATATGATGCGATTTCAAGTTTTCCTTTCTCTTTGGAGTGTTACAAGCTGATTGTGCATAGATAAGATCCCTGAAGTTGCAAAGACTAAAGTCTCAAATCCAAAGAGATATTCTTTATCAAAGTTAAGACTCTGCCACGCCCCCCTAAAACGGCTCGTTCAAATAAAAAATACAGCATTTATTCAAAATGTAAATCTTGTGTTACAATATACACTACCGTTCAAAAGTTTGGAGTCAGTACATTTTTTTTCTTTCTTTTTTTGAAACTAATGAATACTTTTATTCAGCAAGGATGTGTTAAATGGATAAAAAGTGATAGTAAAGACTCATATTGTTAGAAAAGATTTTAATTTGAAATAAATGCTGTTCTTTTTAACTTTTTATTCATAAAATAATCCAGAAAAAAGTATCAGTTTCCCAAAAAAATTAAACTGTTTCCAGCATATTAGAATGATTTCTGAAGGATCATGTGACACTGAAGACAGGAGTAATGATGCTGAAAATTCAGCTTTGATCACAGTAATGAAATAAAATAATAACATAAATGATATTTTAAAGTATATTAAAACAGAAAACCAATATTAGAAATTGAAATAATATCTCACAATATTACAGTTTTTTTCTGTATTTCTGATCAAATAAATACAGCCTTGATGAGCTCAAGAGACTCCATTAAAAATCTTACTGATCCCAAACTTTTGAACGGCTGTTTTATATATACTATTATAGTATTTATTATTAGTATATTATTCATTATTTGAATGAGCTTTTATTTTTATATTTTCAGTTTTAAATTCAGTTATTATTTTCAACTCTTTAAGTTTTAGTACTTTTGTTATGTGCTTTTGTCCTTTTGTTAGTATTTTTGTTATTTTTTATTTTAATTAAAATTGATTGCTATTTTAGTTTAAGTTATTTTAGTACTTTAACGTACTAAAAATTATTTTGGGTAATTGGCAAGGCAACATTTCAAAAAAAATTTTTTTTATTATTATTATTCTTTCAGTGTTAAGTTAGTAAAAACAATGTTCCATCATTTTTTTTTGTTGTTGTTGTTACAATTACATATTTTTTTGTTACATATTGTAGTTTACAATAACAATACTTAAGAGTAGAACTGGGTAATTATGCATATGCCACCATAGCAATATTTTAATTGGTGGATAATAATAAAATAAATTGCTGGATAAAAAAACACCATCATTGTCTTTCTAATGTCCTGCAGGCTTCCTGTTCATCATGCACCCGAGTCAGATGTTCATTCCAGAGGTGAAGTCTCTGTATAACGGGCTCCTGTCTGATAAGCGATGCTCCATCACGCTGAAGATCCAGGTGTTGAAAAACCTCCAGATGTATCTACAGGAGGAGGACTCTCGCATGCAGGAGGCCGACAGAGAGTGTGAGTGACCATGACTTTTGTTCACTCAACAGCTTTAAAATTGCTAGTATGATTTTGAGATTAACAGCATTCACTACACAAACAAAAGACTGTCAAACTCCATAGGGCTCTATTAACTCTATACAACCCTTAAAGAAAGCTTGTTGTGTTTTTATCTTTTCAGGGCAGAAAATGTCAAAGCAGGAGGATCTGAAAGAGATGGGTGACATCTCCTCTGGTATGAGCAGTTCTATCATGCAGCTCTATTTGAAGCAGGTGCTGGAGTCTTTCTTCCACACGCAGTCCAGTGTACGACACTTTGCCCTCAGTGTCATCGCTCTGACCCTCAGCCAGGGACTCATACACCCCGTACAGGTACACACACCAGTATACAACAACTCTGACATTATAAACCCAGCGTCAAAGTCATCACTGGTCCTGCACGAAATCATAAACGTCTGCACATCTTGACCCTTTGCATGTTGTTTTGTTTGTCCTTGTTATAGTTATAGTGTTATAGTGATTCCCAGGAAACACACTTGTGAATAAAAAGTTTAGGTGCAAATGCAAAATAAATCATTTTTATTAAAGAAAGTTAGTTTTTTTTTTAGTGTTTATTTAAACAAAAAGGCAGTAAAACAGTAATATTGTGAAATATTATTGGTAATTAAAATATTTTTTTATTTGAATATACTTTACAAATGTAATTTATTCCTGTGATGCAGTGCTGAATTTACAGCATCATTACTCCAGTCTTCAGTGTTGCATGATCCATCAGAAATCAATCTAATATGCTGATTTGCTCAAGAAATATTTCTGATTATTATCTATGTTGAAAACAGTTGTGCTGCTTAATATTTTGCTCTAAACCAAATAGAAAGTTCAAAAGAACGGCATTTATTTCAAATAGAAATCTTTTGTAACACTTTAAATGTCTTTACTGTTATTTTTTGGTCAATTTAATGTTCCCTTGCAGAATGAAACCGTTTATACTGACTAAAGACTTTACATAAATGTTCTTGCATAAATGCTTTTGACTAATTTAGTAATGCTTTCAGCTACAGTTAAGAGTGCTTTATTCCAGTTAGATTTAATTCCATTCCACACTTTTATATTTCATACAGTCCACACAGAAAATGTAAAAAAATAAATAAACAAGGTCGGTTGTGGCCCTACTCTTCACTGTCACAGCCTTGGCTGCAGAACTTGCACACTAACACAGACTTGTCACTTTCCTTCCTTTTTCCAATCACAGTGTGTGCCATATCTGATTGCTATGGGGACGGACCCAGAGCCCACCATGAGGAACAAAGCAGACCAGCAGCTGTTGGAGATTGATAAGAAATACACTGGATTCATCCATGTGAGCACCAATCCACACACCATGCCATATGCATCTCATGCAGTGTCATAATTTTGTTCATAAATTGGATAATTCTGGTTCACCATTCCTACTGGTCAAATAGACTGAAGCCGTGAGAGTAAGAGTGTAAAGTGGGAAACCACATTATGCCATGAAACATCCAGGTTAAACCAACCTGAACGCTAATGAACTAGAATGATCCAGTTTATGTATGCATGTATTGATTAATTTACATTGATTTATATATTCATATATATGTATAATATATGTATATTATATATATTCAGTGTGTGTGTTAGGATTATTTTAAGGTGTTGGTTTAGGATTAGGGTTCAGTTTAGGGTTACTTGCATGTAATTATGCATAATATATTGTTATTATAATAATAAGTACATGTAACGTGTAACAAGCACACCTTAAAATAGTGTTACTATATATATATATAAAATATGAACATTAAACTGCCAAGATGATAACCTTGATTTTATTTTTTGTTTGACTAGCAGGTGATAAAATTGCATTGTTATAACTGGATTGTTGTACGTAAATTACTTATTGCATTGTTTAATTTACTTACTATTAAATTATGCAACTTAAATTACTCTACAGATGAAGGCTGTAGCAGGGATGAAGATGTCGTACCAAGTGCAGCAGGCCATCATGGGATCAGCAGAACCTGTGATCCGTGGTTTCCGTCAGGACGAGTCCAATTCTGCTCAATGTTCCCACCTCTACAGCATGGTCCGTGCAAACAGACAACACCGGAGAGCGTTCCTCATCTCACTGCTCAATCTCTTCGACGACAGCTCGGTTAGCGCTCTTTGTGTGTCTGACTCTTCCTGTCGTTGGCTCTTTGTTGTGATGTTGAGACTGACCTTTTCCATCTGTCTGTCTCTCTGTGTCCGAGCAGAAGATTGAGGTGAACATGCTGTTGTTCATCGCTGATAATCTGGCCTACTTCCCCTATCAGTCTCAGGAGGAGCCGCTGTTCATCATGCATCATATAGACATCACACTGTCTGTGTCAGGCAGCAACCTGCTGCAGACATTTAAAGAGGTAAGCGTGCTCAAGTGCTTGTGTCTGACCTTAACAGTTTGAGTAGCACATTTCAGCACTGATTGTTTTGGGAGCCTGTCACTATGTAATCCAGTCTTGCGAAGCAGCTGTGGATTTGCAATGGGAAGAGGATGTTTACATAGTCCTATAGGCACAGCAACAAAAATGGGCCATTTAATTTTAAATGTCAAAAAGATGGTGGAAAATTGTCTTGAAAATATGTGTATTAAATGAACAAAAATAAAATGCATTATTTGCTCTTATAATCAGGGACATGTTTTTCCCCCTTTATTCATATGGATTTCCGTATTTTCCAACCTAAAGCATGACCCATATGAATTGAGTAAATCTGATTTTTAAGCACAGCGCTGTATTCATTTACGTACAAGCAGCTCGTGTTTTCAGTGTCTCAGAGTGACACGTCATCTGCATAACGTGCATAATACATTTTAGTTAATAATATTGTCACATTGAAAGAGTGGCGGGTGTTGCGACGATCAAGGAATTCTAACTTTGATAAAATGCCTTAAAAATATCTATATTGAGTACTGACGCAACATTTAGGGAATACAATTTTAGATTTTTTTTATTGAAAGATAAATATAACATATATAGATAAATATATTATTATTATTTTCCTATTTTACCTGGAATATGGTGGTGTGAGCATTGAATTACTTTTTTGGTTCTGTAAAATTAAATAATTACTATTTAATATGTTTTTTGGTTGTTTTTCAGTACAAGGTTATTTTAATAAGTTACTTCTTCAATGGTATATTTTTTATCATTAAAAAAATATAAAATAACATAAAATATTTAATGATTTTTTTTGTATTTATAAATGAAAAGTTTTTTTTTTGCACCAAAAACATAATTTCGATTTTAAAACTACAAATTTTCCATCCTTACAAGTAATAACACTTGTAAGAATTACTACTGTACCTTTAAATTTATATGTAGATTTATGTATATGTTTGTTTTTCAGTACAAGGTTATTTTAATAAGTTACTTCTTCAATGGTATATGTTTTATCATTAAAAAAATATAAAATAACATAAAATATTTAATGATTTTTTTTGTATTTATAAATGAAAAGTTTTTTTTTTGCACCAAAAACATAATTTCGATTTTAAAACTACAAATTTTCCATCCTTACAAGTAATAACACTTGTAAGAATTACTACTGTACCTTTAAATTTATATGTAGATTTATGTATATGTACCCCTCTTATGTAACTGGTCATGTTAATGCACTGATGGTTGTGACCGTAATTCCACTATGACTTCTAAACGAGCCATCGTTGTACCCAGTCTCTCGTTAAGGTTCCGGGCAGGAAGAGCAGGAAAAAGAGACGACGACGGCGGCGGCGGCAACAACACCACCACCACCAACAGCAGCATCAACAGCAGCAGAACGGTTCAGAGGAGGAGAGGGGAGAGCAGAACAAGGAAAGAGAAAGGAACAGTGGAGATGAAGAGTATGATGATAATGATTATGAAGAGGATGAAGAGGGGCAGCGGGTGAGGAAGCCCAAGCCCACGGAGGGCGCCAGGCAGTCAGAGTCAGATTCGGATTCTGACCTCGAGGATGCTGATGCTGTTATGGAGCGTCTTCCTGACGACACAACATCTCTCCTGGACTTTGCTAGGGCATCTCAAGGCATACTGTTACTGCTGGTGCTCAAACAACACCTCAAGAACCTCTACGGCTTCTCGGACAGGTAACAAACACCCATCATGCATCTCAGCAACCCAAAAATGATTGCTGTTTTGTTTAGGTTTTATATTTACTCTATTTATTCTGCTCTATTCCAATGCAGCAAAATTCAGAAGTACTCCCCTACGGAGTCGGCGAAAGTGTACGATAAAGCCGTCAACAGGAAGTCGTCGGTTTACTTCAGTCCACGGCAGACCATCGACTTCCTCCAGAATGATGAGGTTCATGATGAGATGACCTATGAGCTGAAGAGGAAGATCGTCAAACAGTACCTCGATGTGAGCTTATTTTTACTTCTTCTTTTTTTTCTTCAGAAAATAAGAAAGTGTTAGGAATGTTATGAATTATTATATTAATATTGTTAGTAATATTATCTAACAGTTTTAATTGTAATTCTAAGAATATTTGCCAGTAATGATAAGGGAGGCCGCAGAATGACTTAAAATTTTTTAAATTATTGTTATTATTAATGTAGTAATAATAATAATAGTTGTTGTTGTTATTATTATTTAAATGTAATCGAACAATTAAAATGCTAAAAACAAAATCAAGATGAATTCGTTTTTCTTTGTTTTCCTCTGAATAACAATTGCTTTTATTGAAGAACATAGTTTTGAAACTTCTGGAATCACAAAAAAGTTAGTTGTAGAGTTATATATTATGTTTATTTTGTTAATAACAGCATTATGTTTTTACATTTGACGTTTCTACTAATAATCATAATAATATTTGCCAATATTGATAATTGTCTTGCCAAACTACCAAGAAGGCCGCATAATGACACATGATAATAGTAATACAGCAAATTAAAAAATATATAAAAATATATTTATTACCGTATTGGCCCGAATATAAGACGACCCTGATTATAAGACGACCCCCCTTTTTCCAGATGTACCTTTTGGAAAAAGGCTTTTTAAAAACCAAATCTTGTTTTTTCTCAGTAAAACACATTTTGTCTTCAGTTATTTTCATATTGCATATTTTTCCTATTTTAATTTTTGTTTTGAAAGTATGGTAAAAACTGGTAAAATGTACCAACAATCACATTTAAAAAATATACACTTTTTGATATACCATTAAAAAAAACAAAAAAAAAATAGGTAGCCCATCTGAATTAGGACATTTAGGCTATCCATCTAATAGTAGCCTACCAAAATCTTATTAACAGTAGAAGTTAAATCTTACTGTAGTCTTCAAATCTGGGTACTGTCTTACGTTTTAAAATCACAAAGGGAGTTTGTTGCCATCAGGCTAACGTGACAGTCATGCCTCATGCAGCTGTAAGGTTTTCTTTTTCTTTTGTTTTTACTCGCGATTTTTACAACACGCATTACATTACTTATTTCATGGCACACTCGTTTTATGCGTATTTGGCACCACCTATTGTTGTGGGTGTATTATTGACATGTCAAAGTCTAGACCCTGAATATAAGACGACCGCGTTTTTTCAGATGTATTTCCAAGAAAAAAATATCGTCTTAAATTCGGGACAATACGGTAATCGCATAATGAATCATGGTTAATTTAGTATATATCAGCATTCCAGTTTCTGTTAATAAAAACGTTTGAAAACATGCAGCTTTGTCATAATTACAGCAGAAATGCTTGAGGAAATGTTGTGCTGGAGAATGGGGGACCTTTGAGTCAAAATGTTCAGAATTGCTGATTTATACTGTTTGATTCTCAGTTTAAGTTGCTGATGGAGCACCTGGACCCTGACGAAGAGGACGAGGAGGGAGAGACGAGTGCAAACGTGAGGAATAAAGCCATCACCGCACTGCTGGGGGGAGCAGCCACAAGCCCCCGAAACCACCACACTGTTGACTCAGAGTATGAGGACAGTGATGGAGAGGAGAGGACCCCAGGGGTGAGAGAACGCAAAACAATACAACACAGCCAGACCTCTGACTGTAAACCTAGAGGGGTGTGCCATATGTGTAGTCTAGTGTAATATCAGAAATGATATTAGCTGACTTTGCCGACATTATCAAGTATGTCACTCACTTCTCAAAAAACAAGCAAACAAAACACACCTTGAAGAGTGCATGCTCTCAATGCATCATGTAGCATAGTTGCATGCAGACTCCAAAATACAGTATATGGTAGCAAAAATACCCCGTAAGAGTTTCACACAAGCAAACATACTGTTTTTCCCAAATATCTGCACGATTGCAAATGTGACATTGATTTTACACAACAGCTCAGTAAACAAGAAGTTAATATTGTGAGTTACATTTTTAGACAAAGTATTGTCTGTTTATGCTTTTTCACCAATGAAACTTTCCAATTTTCATAGTAGAGGTCCACCGATTGATCGGCCGGCCGATTTTTGGCATTTTTTAATTAATCGGCATCGGCCGATTATGCTGCAAATTAGGCCGATTTATAGGCAGGCACATCTGCGGGCAGCTAAGCGTTGTTGCGGAACACCGGAGAATCTCTCTCTGGCTGCGTGAGACGGAGCAGCTCACACTCTGCAGCCGCTTCTTGTTCACACACCGCTTCAGCTAATGATGGCAGGCTAAAACAGACCGTTTCGAAAACGTAATTACGTTTTACCCTACTAGAATAGATGCCGGAAAGTTATCAGAATAAACTGATCACTGCACATTTCAAAATTAAAATGCAGCGCTGGTGTTTTTTATATGAATGTATGTATCTTTGAAAAGAACCGACCGTCTTCAGAAAAGCTTCGGTGTCATTTTCATTTC